ATAGTTTTCAGTTGATGATAGAGTCTTTTCTCTCTTTTCCTGAATAACTTAAGGAATTTCAAGAATTTTAAATTTGCTTAACTGATTGCAATGATTCTTAGGTTTTTTTTTTAGTTTGTATTGCTGCATTGCATATGTATCAGCCTTTAATGTGTTTAAGTACAGTAGCACTGGGAATTGAGACTGTCTTTTAAAAATTCCCTTTACAGTATCTTTTTAAGTACTCTTCATATGCAAACATGCTTAGTGAGTATGAATGTTAGAATAAGACAAATTGAGATAAGAATCTAGGCCAGATTCATCTGGTCCAAGGGTTGTGGATGTCTTTGATGACAGCACTCAGTGTGACTGTCTCTTGGGTCATACTGCTCCAGTTTGGCCTGGTAGTTTGCCTAATACAGAGTTCTAGGTTGGAAATCATTTTCCTTCAGAATTTAAAAGGTATTGCGGTGACTTCCTGCTTTCAGTGTTGCTGAAGCCATTTTGATTCATGAACCTTTGCAATATGACCAGTGTTTTTTTTCCTCTTTTTCCTCTTATTTTTCTGGAAATGTGTAGCATCTTCTCTTTGTTTCTGGTGTTCTTAAATTTGCCATGGTGTCTTCTTTGTGTGTTTTTTTTTCCAGTTATTGTGTTGAGGACTTAATGGGCATTTTGGCTAGACTAGAAAATCATGCCTCTCAATTTGGGTGAATTTTATTTGGATATTTCAAAGGTTTTTTTACTCCTCAATTTTTTAAGGGGGGTGAGATGTCTGTTTTTCCTGGCATTTTGATGCTGAATCTTTTTGTCTCCTTTTCATATCTTTTGTTTGCTTCTACCTTCCCCCCCCATTTCTCTTTTTTTTCCTTGGCTTTCTGAAAAATTGCAACTTTATTCCTATACTTTTTAGTGAATATTTCATTTCTGCTATTATGTCATTGGAAGTAAATTATTCTGACACTTATTAAAACGACAAGGAAAACTTTATTCAGGACTATCGCAATCAGAGTATATAACAAAATACCATAGGTTGGGTGGTTTGAACAACAGGAATTTATTTATCCACAGTTCTGGGGGCTGAAGTCCAAGATCAGGGTGTCAGCATAATTAGGTTCTGGTGAGGACTCTCTTTTAGGCTTTCAGATGGCTGCCACCTTGTTGTAAGCTCACATGGCCTTTACTCAGTGTGGAGGTGGTAAGGAGGGGAGGGAGATGTAGGGAAGTGAGAGATGGAGAGAGAGTTCTCTCTCCCCCTTTTTATAGTGCTACCAATCCTAATGGATTAGGATCCCACCTGTATGACATTTAACCTTAATTAGCTAGCAAAAGCCCTGTCTCCAAATACAGTCACATTGAGGGTTAGGGCTGTGACATGTGAATTTCTGGGGGTCACAGTTTACTCTGTAGCAAATACATATTCGGTCTGTAACAAGGGGTATTTCAATAGGGGAAGGAGATCAGGTTCAATTCAAATATAGCAAAGACAGCTGGGGATTTATAGCCAAGGAGCAGAGTTAAGTGGGTTAGTAGATATAAACTAACTAAGAAAGCAGCCAGGGTAGGGGGTTCTTGCTAAACTGACTTAAGGGAATTCTTGTTGAACACAGGTCAAAGGTAGGGGATAAAAAACTTGATCAGATATCAGGAGTAGAGAAGTTTCTCTAAGCGAGCTTAGCAAAACTCTTGCTAAAACTGGCCTGTGCAGACCCAGTAAGGACAGGACAGACATGGGAGGCCTAGTCAAGGCCTAGTCCAGAAAGCTCAGAGGAGCCTGACTGAAGTTTGGTCAAGGAGAGAGTTTTTATCAGCATGTGGTAGTTTTTGTATGTACACCGTTAGTTGTTTCTGGAGTTTCTCATTCCAGAGACACTCCCTCTTCTGCAGGGAATAACCTGTAGGCTTCTCTTGGGGTAGTGTGGGAATGGGAAGTCATTTACTAGCAACATGGAGTGTGTGTGTGTGTGTGTGACTGATATTAGGAAATCTCTTTGTCAAACAACTTTCACCTCATCTTCCTTATGTTATACACCCTCTTTTCACCCTTGGTTCTAGAAGTATCTTTATACTATAGTCCTCATGTCTTTTGAAATCCAGTGGTATAATTTGGGTTGTTTTTCATCTTTCCCATTCCTGGGGATTCAGTTCTCTTGAGTTTGCTGTCAGTTGCCTCTCAGTCATTTGCTTTCCAACTTCCAAAATGTTGTCATTATTGTCTCCTCTTTGGTTCTCCCCATCCTTGTGGACTGATGTATTTTTAAGGAATTGCTTTCCTGCAGATTTAGGGTTTGAAGAAGAATATTAGGTGTGTGCCTTTAAATCTGTTATCTTGTCTGGGAAGCCTGCAGCAAATGGTTCAAAAGGGGAAAACAATTTGAATAGGTCAAGGGAATTTGCCATTCTTTTTTGGACTTGGGGACTTTGCTTGCTGTGATTTTTTTTTTTCTGATACTCAATTATTCCTAAATGATCACTCATGACTATTCTGTGGTTTTCCTTTATATTTAGATCTATCACAAGACCATTTTCTTGAAATTTATTGATGGCTTCAAACAAGGGATATGGGGGGAATATAAGAGGAAGAGGTGTGACTAGCATCTATTGGGTGTCATTAGAATGGTGATCTCAGTTTTATGTCACTTAATCCTCATAGCAATTCTGTAAGGTAAGTGATATTATCACATATGGGTAAGGATAATGATAATGATCAGAGAGATTAAGTAACTTGCTTAAGAGCTAGTCAGATAGTGGTAGTGCTTAGTTTCAAGCCTGGGTTTTAAGACCTTTCAACTCTTTTTTTTTTTTTCTTTTTAAACTTTTTCTAGTCTACCATCTCCTTTTACTCTTCCCAAACTCTGAATAATTTATTCATTCACCCAGTGAATATTGACTTGCCTACTCTGTGCTGGGCCTTGGGGATATTGAAAGGACTGTCCTTATGGAACAGGAATGACATCAGATATACCTTTCAATAAGATTTCTGGTGATCTGTGCAGATTGGCAAGAGTAGGAGCAGGCAGCTAAATTAATTACAGAAGTCCTGGTAAAGGGCCATGTTGGTTTTGACTGGGGTGGCCGAGGAAATACAGAGGAGCGGGTGGATTTAAGATACCTATTGGAGATAAAGCCAACAGGATGGGGGGTGGGGGAGGTGGAGGTTGATGTAGATTTAGAAGAAGCTGGAAGAATTGAGGATGACTCAAGGTTTGGTTTGAACTGAGTGTTGTTGGTGCCTTTACTGGTTAACAACAGGCTGGGGTGGTGAACAGAGTAATACTATAATAACAATGTTACATCTATTGTATCTATGAAGAAGTATCCAGTAGGCAAGTAAATATCTGGGAACTCAGCAGCGTTCTCGTTTGGAGAAATAAATTTGGGCATCATTCACCTACACATGGTATTTAAGGCCATGGAATTAGATATGAATATCCAGGGAAGGTGTGTATGTGTAGATGTGGTAATGTAATTTTGAAGCAGTGTTACTAATTCACATCTATAGAGAATCCTCATTTAATTTCTTAACTCAGAATTATACTTACACCTAATAGCATTTGCTGCATGGGGAAAGTGAGTCCCCATGACTGTGTAGCCATGACATGGAAGACATTAACCAACAATCATATTGCAGACATGCCTATAGTTAGCAGCTTTTTGATTGAACTATATACCAAACACCTTTGACTTTCATGAGAGACTAGATCTGAGAACACTGACATGGGAAATCCCAGATTTGAGAATGCCACACAAGAGGAGAGTTATGGCACATGCATCAGCTCTTCTTTAAGGATAGATAAGTATTGAAAAATAAAATTTCATCGAGATGCTAAAACTATATAGAACCTCTGGGATCACACACTAGCTGATTCACTATTACACATTAGCCACATAGAATCCAAGCTCATTAAAATTAAATATTTTACATTTCATGGTCCCTTCAGGGTACTCTCAAAAAACAGAATTGTAAATGTTAGATCTGAGAATGCCAAGCATGAAAGACGCTTTTTAGGAACACTTGAAAAATTAGATTAGAATTTACAGGAGGCAAAATCTGGAAACAATCTAAATGTCCGTCAGCAGGACAAGAGGTAAACAATTGTGGAATAGTCACTCAGTGGGCTAGTGTACACAACAACACGGTTGAATATCAAAAACATTTTGTTGAATGAAAGAAGCCAAATGAAAAATCATACATCCTGTATCATTTCATTTATATAATGTTCAAGAAAAGCCAAAACTAATCTATGATGATAGAAACCAAACAGTAGATGTGTGTGGGGAATAGAAATTGACCAGGAGGCATGAGCGAACTTTCTGTGGTGATGGAAATGTCCTAAATATTAATAGGGTGTTTGTTAAATGGGTATATCTTTTGTATGCTTAGGTTTTGTACATTTCACTGTAAGTTCTACCTCAGTAAAAAAAAAAAAAAGAAGAAAACAACAAAAACAGTATGCTGAGTGGTTCTGTGAAGATGTGTGTAGGGAGCACTTTAGTGAGGCATCTCTGTAGTCTGATTGTCAGGGAAAGTTTCCCAGAGGAAGTAATCTCTCACGTCTTTCACTTTTATCCCTGTAGGTCTAAAATGCCTTATTGTTCAACTCTAACTCCACACAATAACATCTATTCCTGGGACAACTGTTTGTGCAACCTAGACTACTGTAGGTAGTAAAAGGGAGTGCTAGTATATATCACACTGGGACAATAGATAAAACCTGTGACCATTACCCTCTTTCTGTACTGCTAAAAGTGTAGTACTTTACTGCAGTCACAACCAAGGAATGCCCAGTAGCAGAGCAGTTGTTACCTGAGGGTAGAGCTGACTCTGCTTGATCCTTATCTAAAGGTGGATAAAGGTCATGGCTGGGTACAATGAGATGGGAGGGGCTGGAGAGCACCTGTAGGAGGGGTGGACTTGTGTTATTATGAATTGCAATTTCCATGTCAATTTTTAAAAAAGATATGTATTTGTTTTTTATTTCCAAGTTATTCATGTTGCTTTATTTGCTCCTTTGACACAGGAAATAGTGGATAGCTCACTTCAAACATGGAGGATGGAAAGCCCGTTTGGGCGCCACACCCTACAGATGGATTTCAGATGGGCAACATTGTGGACATTGGCCCTGACAGCCTAACAATTGAACCCTTGAACCAAAAAGGCAAGGTGAGTGTCTCACAAACATTTCAAAATTCTATTTCTTTCTAAGGTGTCTCCCTTCTCAATGAAGCAGGTATTCTTAGTAAAGTTTAGGGAAAAGCAATTTTCAGGTAAATGAATCTTAGTTTTCTACTGAGTTATTTGATTAAATCAGAAGTACATACCTTAGGGGAAAAACTGTTGCCCTATGATAAAATCACACAGAAATTTAGTGAGTCTTTCATTACATTTTAAAGAAACAAATAGCATTATGATAAAATACAAACTATTTTTATTCCTTATACATATTACTAAAATTACTAATGTATCTGTGATGTATGTACCATGTTACAAAGCAAAAGTATGAAAAGCGGGATTATGTTATCAAATTTTGCTTTTTACTTTAACTCCTGGACAATTCCTTCTTTTAACCTTTTTATTTACTTAAATTTATTAAAATGGAATTAGAGTAAATTTGTTTCTATTAAGTAAAAATACTTAAGTCTTAAACATACCCATCTATTATTATTTTTGCTTTAATGATAGTTTTTAAAACATGAAAACATACTTTAATTTTGCGCACATGGTATCTGTTTCCTTTTATGCTTAGACAGCAGCTAGACAGTATTACAAATGGGAGTTTGGGGGAAAGTGACCTGGAGTCCCTTTCAGTCTTTTTGGGGACTGTAGGGTCTTTTTTTGTAGGAGATCTTCACAATTTTCAGTTTAATAAGTATTCCTGATAAATAGATCTTCTGACTAAATTATATTTGTTGGTGTTATTTCTGTTTACTTTGAACTCTGAATATCCATGCATAATTTATATTCTACTGATACATGGTTAACTACTGCCATATGACTACCATCCTTCTGGGAACCTAAGAAAAACAAGGTGGATCTCTCATGAGGTCTTTTCACAGAGAAAAATATTCTGTTACTGTAAACAACCCAAGTACCTAAATGCATAATATATAATGTGGCATGTTCGAGGCGGCCAATTAAAGATACCCTCAGGAAAGAAACGACAAAGTGTTTCTAGTTTTTTCTCTTACTAACAAGTACCTATTTGTACTTACAATGCAGTACATGTTAAAAAAAATGAAGGAATTTAAAAAATAAGCTCAGTTATTTTTATTTATTTGAACTTATAGGGGAGAAAAAATTTTCCTCTCTCAGTTTGGTTCTCTGGCTGGGCCTGAGAATTAAAACTGACATAAGACAGATTTACAGTGGAAAAAGCATAGAATTTTTATTAAATTTTCACATGCATATAGGAGCCTTCACAAGAGAATGAAGAACTGAAGAAGTGCCCAGAGCAGAAAGCTTTTCTACCTTTTAGACAAAGAAACAATTTATGAAGAACTGATAAGACAAAGGGGTTTGGGCCAGGGGCAGTATATTGTGGAGAAGTGCTTAGGAAAATAAGGGTTAGTATGACAAGGTTTGTTTGTACAGATTCCTCTTGGCCTTGAAACCCCTTCTCTGGTGATAAGATTGTCTTCCTTCCTTCTGGTATAGGGAGGGCATCTTTCACATGGCAATTATATGTGCTGCTTTCAGAAAGAAAAAGGACAGAGTGCCTTTCTTTTATCGGCTATTTGTCAAGTGCCTTCAGCTCATAATAATCAGTATGTCAGAGTAGCTTATTTTGGGGTGGCAGAAATTGAATGAGCCTTTGTTATCCTTCCAAGTCATTTTTCATTTTTGTTTAACATATTTTATAAGCACAGTAAATCATAAGGCTGAAAGGAAATGATAAGTATATATGCTAGGTATATTCTGTTATTTAGGTATATTGTTATATCCACATGTGACAAAATAGTTCAAGCATAGAAAAAATTGGATTTGTGGGTATATAATTTTTATATTTTAAATAATGTGTGTGCTTTCAACTGTGTCTTATTAGTATTAATCACATACACACATAGAACCAATAAAAACACTTAAAATGTAAATTGTGAAGCCATGAAAACTATGGATCTACAGATAATTTTATAAACTAAAGTTGAAGCTTCTTTTCACAAACATTTTTTGAGGGTTAACAAAAATCTCAGGAATTACTTTTAATCTTAATTTCTTTACTTTCTGATTGGGGTCTTAATAAATTGTAAAGTGTAATAATAACTATATAAAAAATCCACAAGAGAAGCAGTCTTTTGCCTAGATAATCAATGGTCTAGAGATCATCAGTTTTTAAATATTAAGGAATTAAGTGCATAATATGATGGACAAATCAAGTAGATCTGTTTGCTGGTACAGTAGAAGCACAGAAGAGGGATGATTTAGCTCATGCCTTTTTTTTATTTTATTGGGGGAATTGGGGAAGGGAACACTGTGTTTTTCCAGGACCCGTCAGCTCCAAGTCAAGTTGTTGTCCTTCAATCTTAGTTGTGGAGGGCACAGCTCAGCTCCAAGTCCATTTGCCATTTTCAATCTAGTTGTGAGGGGCACAGCCTACCATCCCTTGCGGGAATCAAACCAGCGAGCTTGTTGTTAAGAGCACATGCTCTCACCAGCTGAGCCACCTGGCCGCCCGTTGGCAGCTCAACAGCAGCTCAGCTCAGCCACAGCTCACTGGCCCATGTGGCAATCGAACCGGTGACCCGGTTGCTCAGAGCTCACTCTCTAACCAACTGCACCACCCAGCTGGCCCCTCGCTCATGCCTTTGATGATAGCAATTGCTTTTAAAGCTTTTTGATTGTGACCCATAGGAAGAAATAGATTTTACATTGCATTAGGTATGTGTGTTGAGTGCATGTATGTATATATCCATAAATGAAACAGAATTGGTCAAGTGAAACATCCTTACTGCATGTGATGCATTCTGGTATTTTCTAATATATTTTATTCTGTTAAAAATGCTGTCTTGAATCTCTTAATTGTTTTTATGTTCCATATTTGCAGCAGATTTGCCTTCAGGCTAACGCCCTAAATATATGGCCTTTAAGGGTCGACATTCTCTTTTCCCTGCCTACTTCACTAGTCTTATTTTTTTGTCAACCAAGAGTTGCTCCTTCATACTCTTGCCATATGCTTATTCTTGTGAATCTGTTTCTCTTTCTCTTCCATGCTGCCCCTCCACAGTGTTTATCAACCCCCCACTATGCACTAGGTGATATTGGGTGCTTTGTGTTGTTCATTCACAGTACTCTTTTTGCCTGGAATGCCACTCTCCATAGCCCTTTGCTTAGCAAATACTTTCGTATCTCCCAAGACTGATTGAGGTCACCTCCTTCATGAAAAATTTCCAGTTATCCAATCCCTCCCTTATTTCCCTCCCATGCTGTAGAATTTACTGTCGATTACTCCTTCCTTTGAGGAGTGGT